TCTTCTTATCTGGCCAATGAGGTCCCGACCCATCTGATTGTCAGACCTCAGCATCCAGTGAGAACAAAGACTGTCCCTGGCTGTCAGTTGCCATGGTGACTATCGATGCGGCATAAAAGGAGCGTTGCCAAGGGTAACAGGAGTTGGGACTTAATTAAACCGATCAATACATAGTCGCCGGACTGAATTTTTGTGCCTTCGTCTCGGACTGAGATGTAACGAACACTCGTGTTTTTCGTGCATCCGTGTGAGTCAGACTGATGAGCCATGACTTCATGCTGGTGTCGGTTTATCCCGGTTCCTGCTGTGCATGTGTCTGCGTGTGTGGTTAAGGGTTTCACTCCCAGGTGGTTCCCGTTGAAGCCGAACACTGACAGGAGTGTCTGAGCACGTTTCCTTTCAGCATGTCAGCACTCCTATGACTCCACCGCTTCTCCTCCCTCTCTTCCTCCGTTTCCGTCATGTGTTATTGCAGATTTACATCTCAGCTCGTGATCTTACGTGCCCCCTTTAGCCTATCTCACATCTCCTTTTTCTTTTACTTATTTTCGTCCCATTCTGTCTGTGGCTTCCCCCCAACCCCACCCATCCATTTTCCACCCTGGAAACATGAGTCCTGATTCGCTGACTGCGCTGCATCAGAATACACCAATAAAGAGACGGCGCTGGCGTGGCATCTGTCCCATAAATGAAATTGCACTTTGTGCCACAGCCTGTCCAGAGTTAGCCAGAAAAAGAGCAGTTTTGTAGGCTTGTTTGAGTCAAGGACAGGTTTAGACTTGTGCTGTATTTAGCACTTAAAGCGCCAGATGTTTACCCGAGGACAAATTACTTGTAAAAAGAGACGCTTTATAGGCTGTGCACACACGCTCACTGTGTTCAAAAGCTTTGGTGATGCTCTGCCTTCTACTGTAGCGCCATCATAAGGTCAATATTTCTCATTTTAGGAAAAATCACAAGCCTCAAGCTACTAAAAAAATCCGCACAACGCCTTTCTTTTGTAATCTAGTGCCAAAATGTCACTCCATGTGACATGTGTGACATCAATTCAAATTTAAATACCACCTAAACCCTGTTACTTTTACAGCAACTTCTTACTTGACAAGATTATTATGATCATTAAAACCTAACTTATTGCATTAATGATTAACTTGTGAGGGTAGTTTATCATCCAGAGGTCTTGTAACCTCTGTGCATGTGCCTTTAATGACAAAGTAACTTGCCACTGCAATTTTAGCCTGTTGCAATGGGTCTGTGGTGTGCAAGTTAATACACTTCCTCCCTGGGAGGAGAGTATACTCCTGGTGCCGGACGCAAGCCTGGATAAATAGGAGCGTTCTGTCTGGAAGTGCCAAATTTAAACGTGCGTCCATCTGCTGTGGTGACCCCTGCAAATAGGCGAGCAACCTTACTTCAGTCTAAAGCTAGTTCAAGCAGTCAACTCAAGCGGCATAGCTTTGAACACACTCACTCTCCTCACATCAAATATCAAAACACACCTCTGGGCCGGCACAGCGGTTAGCACTGTTGCATTACAGAAAGACAATTCCTAGCTCAAACCCCCAGGCCTTTCCTTGTGGAGTTTGCACATTCTCGCTGAGCCTACGTGGGTTTCCTCCTGGTACTTCCTCCCACAGTCCGAACACTTGCATGTTGATTTCAAACAGGCTGTGGGTGTGAGCTAGATGACGTATTTAAAGAGCTGTGCGAGTGTACCTAAGCCTTTTGACTGGCCAGTGAGACTAGAAAAGCACTGCAATGAAATTCAAGTACATAACATTACATCACACCCCTCCAATTTGGCGATCTTTCCCCCTGCCTGCTGTTTAAACTCCACCACCGCCCCACCATCCACCTGTTGGTTCTACAGGAATCGTTTCCCAGTTTCATCACATTGCCTGGAAAATAAACATTTCAAACTGGAATATTTTGTCCTTGTAAATACTTGCTAGCAGTAGCATTTAGGTGAAAGCAGGTCTTTGTTTCTGGACTGTTTGTCTTCCTGGAAACACGTTCTCTGTGTATGACAACTGAAAATACACAGGCAAATTATAGTAGAAGTGGTGGGAAGGTTCCCAGTGGAGGACAAATGGGGTTTTTCATGTAGCAACTCGACTGAGTTATAAAAAATGTAAACAAATCAGTTTTGTTGTGAAGAACTTGTTCATTACTCATGTGATTCTCTGCTGTTCTGCTGCTGCTTAGGAGACCTCAAACCAGAGTCCTGATGCTACTGAAAGAAATGCAAAACCAGCATGTCTGTGTTTTTATTTGCATCATTTAGATCCAAAGTTTATGCACTTGTTCAAACATTAAGCCAGTTAAGGGACCATCATGAAATCAATGTGGGTAGTTTTTAAGATATTGCACTATTATTATAGATGAACTCTGAATAATCTTTGTGGATAAATGTTTTGGAAGCGTTGCCGACATCTCGACAGATGCAGGCTGAAGTGTCTCTGCAGTTCTGCAGAAATGCCACTTCTTGTCTGATCTTGTCCGGAGAAGCGAGCTGTTGTCGGCTCAGATATCTGCTAATTTATTCAGTCCTGAGAGCAGGCCTGTCACACCGCTTGCAGAGGTGGTAACGAGGGACACGCTGAAGTTGGCGTGTTGGAGGCATGCCAAAACAATTACAAGTTTGTCGCATTATCGCTTCTTCCGCGCTCTTCCTCTTCTCGATAGAGGGACGTAAAAGCACAGCTACCATGCGGAAAAGTGGCAGAACCTTTGTTTTTCTCAGGGAGGGAATTATTTTAAAATCCCTGCTCGCTTTTGTTTGCACTCCCCCAACATGTTTCTCTTCTCTGTGTGACAGTCTTTTATGACAGCCGTCCTTTGTGATTTCTCCTGTGACTGACGCTCGCTCCTATCTCAGTATCTCACTCTTCTTTCATTTCCGTCCTCATCATCTCCAACGTGCCGTGCTTTGGCTATATTTAACATTATTTCCTTAAACGTGTGCTGCTTAACCGTCATTACATAAAAAGGCAAAGGTTAAGTTAGAATAAATTGCTGAAGTGGTCTTGAATAACAATTCTCCAGGTTTTCTGAAAGTTTATCAAAGTATTTCTTTGCACATTGGCTACTTTTTCACTCATTTTCAGTCCAATCCTTGTACTTGACTGTTTTTAGAGGAATGTTTTATGATTCTTAAGCTTCCTTAAAACTAATCGATGAATCATTCAAGCACAAAAAAGGCCCAAAACTCAACAAAAAGAAAAATATGTTCTAATTTCCTTAGTTGAATCTATATAAAATGCCAAAAAAAACCCCAGTTTGATAGGCATAAAATAGTATTTTTGGACCAATGAGGTGCTGTTGGCTGAAAAGTAGGCATATCTCAGCAGGGTGTGCAGTGTGTCCTTAAGAAAATTTGAGGAAACTAGACAAGTGGTGTAGCAGGTCTAAAAAACGCTCTATCTACAGCTGATGAACAGTATCTGAAAAAATCCAGCAAAGACCCGACACAGCATCTGAGTGATATAACTCACTATTCAGTTAATATGATGTTCGGGAAGGTTAGCTGTTAGGAAGCCATTCTTAAGGAAAGGGAAGGAACAGAGAAAAGGTGGAGGTGTGCCAAACTGCACAAAAGCTGGGCTGAAAAATTTGCCTCATATACTGTATTTCCATTCATGTATTCACATTTTGATTCATCTCTGTACCATCTTTCCCATTTTTCTTAGCAAGATATAAAGAAATGAAGACTGTGCTGTAGAAGTTAGGTTTATTTCTACCTCAAGTTCTGATCTCGATTAGCGCAAAGCAACGGCTGGTTTCCCAATCTGACCACCTTACTGCGACACACATTTGTGTCATCACTCCAATACAGCTGTATATTCCCAGTGAGCACTCTGCTGCTCTCTGTCTCTATTCTCACTATCGTAGATTGTGAAATCCGTATCGATTGACCTCATCCCATCTTTTTTCCCTTCCCTCTCAGTGATGTTAGTAAGTGATTGCTCTATTGATCAAATCTTCTCTCTCCTCTCAGTCTACAGAGGGCTTTTAGGCTACGTAATGTGTCCATTAGTCGCCGCTGCGAAATTGCAGCTTGATTTTTCTGCCAACTTCAGTTTGAATATTTCAGAATAAAGGCAAAAGTTAAGCTCTTTTTGTTAAGAGATTAGATTTAAATTAGATCAATAAGACATAAAATCATCTTTGCAAAAATAAAATGCACCAGTGACTCACGTATCAAGACCTCGGACTGTATTGAAAAGCCTGATGGCGATTCTGTGGCAGTTAAATCTGCACTGCTTTCAATGGCCAGCAGGGGGCGACTACTTGTGTTGCAAAAAGTGTGATTCTTTAAGAAGGTTTTTTTTATAGCCTTTCTACACGTTTATGACCTCAGTTGCTAATCAGGAGTATTCTTTATTAAAGCCTAATGGTTTAATTTAGTGTCAAACAGACTCTTATGTGTGCAGCGTCTCTCGGTCAGAGTCCCCGTTTTTGTTTGTCACATCAGAAAGAGACAGAAAGAGCACAAACCGCATGTGACGTGTTACAAACGTGTTACTGCTGACTGTAAAACACACTGTAATTCTTTTTTTAGCAAAGTTTAGCACCAAGTTCTCTATTTTCACAGAGATGTTGTGAGCAGTCTGCAAAAGTCGAAGCGTCATTGAGTAACATCCTGTACCCCAAATAAACCTCAATGTGTTGTTGTGAGCGACAGATAAAGAGCTTAAAGTGTGGCTTGCAGTATTAATGTTGTGTTTTTGCAGATTTTTTGCTCTGCAGGTTACGCATGGCTGTTCAGTTATAGGTGTGGATGGTATGTGGGGGAATTGCTCAGACTCAAACATATGGCCCAGCATTTTGGGACATTAATTCTCAGTGGGATCAACAGCACCAGCAACCCATTTAATCAGTTTGAGCTTCTTAACACCGCCTTGAGCGTTATTATTTTCCAATTAGGGCCTCAAAACTTTTCCGACTTTGTCATTTGACTCATTTGTTTGAACTTCCCTTCCTCCGTCTGTCCCTCTCAGGTTCGCCGTCATCGCCTCGGGCTGTGCCAGCTGTCCCCGGCTGGTTTGTCGCAGAGAAGGCTGCGGCGCGGAGTTTTGCTACCACTGCAAACAGGCCTGGCACCCCAACCAGACCTGCGACTCGGCCCGCCAGCAGAGGGCGCAATCTCTGCACACCCACAGCAACCACTCGCCCAGCTACACGCAGGAGCAAGGACCCGGTGAGTACCTGAAGCCTCACAAACCAGTGTCAATCACAGACACAACACAGAGTCAAAGAGGGACTAGCCCTCGCCGTGCAGATGTGTGCGCGCTTCGTGCAGGCAGATAAAATCTTCTCACCAGGGTTTCCGTCCTGAAAATACTTTCACACCTCTGAGAACTTTCTGTCTCTGTCTGTCTCTGTCACATCTCTTCTCAGTCTGTCAAAGCGCTGAGTCAAACTCGTCTCGCGTCAGTCGTACCAGGCTCTCAGTGTTCCCACCGCTGGAGGAAGTGTTCAGCGTTCAATCAAGCATGAGGCACTATTTATATCACAGGTTCTTCACTTGGTAGTTTCAAGACTGCGGTGCTGTGCATCCTGTCAGCCTGCATTTGAAACAACACCAAAACATTTCTCAGTCTAAACTTTATTAGATCAAAGTTTTGGAGTAATTTCTCTTTTAAGACTCAGAAACAGTTCAGCTGTAAGTTGAAGTAAGTGAAACTACAGTGTTTCCTAATATAATAATAATAATAATAATAATAATAATACTAACATTATATAAAAAGACACCCGTTTCCCTAGAGGTTTAACTACTCAATTATTCATTAATTCAAGGAAAAGTCTCAATTTTTCAACATTATAAAATAAAATAGCCGTAGCAAAGAAATCCTAAGAAGTTAAAATATACCGGCAGTTCATTTAATTCATAATTCCTGTGAATAAAAACAGAACATGTCTCTTTTTTATATTTAAATAACTAAATATTGTAGCAATAGTGTTCTCCGTTTCTTTTCCAGTTGTCACATTTCCTAAAACCGTCCAGTGGGACGATCTGTAGCCTTTGGCGAGCTTTTCCGGGCCCTCGGGCCGTATGGTTGAAATGTGTACCTATGCCACAGGTGCAGCGTAACTCCTCTGCTGAACCGAATGTTCAGAGCAGCTTTTTCAGCCACATTTAGCTTGTTAAAGCATTGAAAGAATGGATGTTACTTGCGTATTTGGCCATAAAAGGGAACTAGAAATGCTGAATGCTAGCTCATTTCCCAATTTTCTATTTTTAGACTCACTTCTGCTGTTCTGTTTTACATGGAATAAAGAAATATTCCAACGAACATGCTAATTGGTCAATTTGAAGTTTCGGTGCTAAGCTAACTCCCGTTGCTGCTGCTGGTTCATATTTAACTAGTTTTCCCTCCTCTCATCCAGCTCTTAGCAAGAAAACTGTTTATTTTGTCCCCTAACATACTTGTTGTAGTGATAATAGATACAATCATGAAAATCTCTACAGACAAACAACAGCCTTCGTGTGCAAACATTCTTACTTGCATGCGCGCCTTTAATCCTGTTTTGATTAAACATTTATTAGGGAAATCTCTCCAGCTGCCCTCATCTCTCTCTCTCTTTAATTCGCCGCTTCCAGTTTCGCCTCTCTGTGCCAACGCTTCAGAAGGACGGACAGCAATCCAAGCACACGAAACTGACTCATAAAAAAAAAAACTCCAGGCCTCTCCCTCTGTGTCAGCCTGTCTGTCTGTCTGCTGATACCTGCTGCTTAGTCAACGGGATTCAGACAAACACAGAGAGGAGGAGAAAAAGAAGATATGATATGGAGGGAAATATATAGAGATAAGATGAAGAGAGAGGAGGGGAAGAAAGAGAGGACGAAAGCGAGATACCAGAGGGAGTGAGCAGCAGAGTGATGTCAGCAGAATACAGAGCGCAGCAACAATAACAACTACTCCTACACGCACACATCAACCACATCTGCCAGAGTCACTTCAAGTTAAAATGCCAAAATGCCCTTTAAAGAGCAGAGAGCGCTCCCTGCAACCAGAATTCAAACTCACAGCGAATTGACTCAAAATGCATTAGAGGACAAAGTGCCGCAGCGAGCCTAATGATCCATTACTCTAATGAGGTTTGAGCTTATTACCCTCAGGAAAAGACCCAAAGAGAGCACTTTTGGAGTTTTTCTGTTATTTAAGTTCTAATTCGATTTTTCTTTTTCATCAAGAAAGTTGAAAGATGTTAGAAACTAATGTGGAAAATTGAGACTTGTTTAGACTGGTTTGGAAACTCCAGGGTTATGTATTAGTTTGGACAGGCAGACATGACGCAGACACCCACACGGGCTTCCTAGTTTGGCCTTATGATGAAATGAAGCCAGAATATTAAAGCCAAGCTCGAGTACCGTTTGAGATTTCCTGCTATTGTGTGGGTGCTTCTGTCCTACTGCTCTGGCTTTCTTTGATGATGGTCAGTAATCCCAGTGAGACTTATTTGC